TTCAAACCTTTCACAACTTTGTGAATTTTTCTACTGAAATACTGATACCCAATGCTGGCTGCTTTAACAGAAGGTCTTCTTTTGGCTGCTGGCGGATAATTCTGAAAGTATTCTCACCATTGCGGAATTTAATCCTTTTCCTACTCTCCCTTGATGGAGAGACTTGTACTTGAGAACTGTGAGTCTGCCTTTCCGTCTCGGAGGTGAGTGAATGTTGGCCAGAATTAGATGCTTGCCGTCGGAAAATTTAACTCGAACTTTTCTCAGAAATTAGCTTTCGCTTCCGTCGCATTTTACTTACTGCATTCGAGTTGAAGCCATTTTTCTCCCAACGCCACCTCTTAAATGCATCTTCCTTCTCGGTAATAGACAGTTGAACGTGTCAGACCCACCATGACGTTCATTTCCGACCATCGGACGTGAGACCAGCCAGTTTGCCGCATCATTCGGCGGCAGCCCTCAATGTGCCACTTGTACAGAGCTTTCACTCGGTTTCCATATCTGCGGGCTTCAATGGCATCTGTTTTAACGGTCGGGCAACGTTTGTTTGCAAGTTTCGCAGAAGTGTGTAGAAAATAATGGTTCCCGTCTAGGAGTCGGTTACAGCGGAGGGTATGGACAATAAGACGGTGATTGGTCGGCAGCTCAGTGCCTCTCTTAATGGAACCTCATTTACACAGCGTGGTACGTGCGACGATGCATTATAAAGTCGATCATTAATTTTGTGCACAATCTTTTATACAAAAAGTGTACTGATGCACGTTCGATGCTCTCAAAAAGCTGTTTGTATCAGACAGTCTGTTGCTTGCAGAAAGCCTCAAGAACTTCTTGTCACATTTTTGAGGTCGTGGTTGCCAATCTTTGCAACTACGCCATCTCGTTTTTCAATTTCTGTTCCGACAAGCGCATTGAAATCTCCGATCACAATGATGTATTCTGTAATCATCACTGCGTACCCAGGACATCCTACTTCCTCCAGGAAGCACTGATTCTCCCACCGAATTGGCCGCATAGACATGTAACAATGTCAAGGCTATACTAACATCGGTCAGAGGATTATCGCTCGTCTGCTGACAAGATTCCATTCGAAGAATCTGTCAGTCAAGTTGGATTGTACCAGAATACCGACAGTAGCTTGAGTGCGGGTCGTGCAGTCGACACCTGAGTACAGTAGTTTCTACCAACAAAGGTTGAAAATTCTAGATCCATTGCGCCCTGGTGAATTAACTCTTGCTTTTTCCCAGTTTCTGGGAGAGGTTCTACTATTAACTCGCACTATTGGTATCGTTCCCATGGAGCTTTACTTGACTTGCTATAACGGCATCGTGATATCTGCCTCCGTTCAGAATGGGTGGCGGCTCCACTTCCGAGTGGTATTTTCATTTTCTCTTGTCGATCTGCTTCAGCCGTCGCCGTGCAGCGATGGTCCAACTGCCAGAACGAAATAACCAGGTATTGATGGCAGATTTTTCTCAATCTGCCACAGTTCCCCAGCAGCCTGTGCGGCTCTTGGTAACTCGACCAATGACATAGCGTATAAGGTTTGATACAGGCTGCGACATTTTGCTGCAGACCGCTGGTTGGTGTCAGCTCTTGGCCCTGTAGTCGCCACATTGAGTCTATATAACTGAACTGTGGTCAGCTGTGTTAACTGCACGATTTCACCAATCATGTTATGTGTGAATAGGTGGCTCTCTCTGCGTAAAAGACATGCATTTGTCAAACTAATGAATTTATAATTACAATTCCATTGTGATGACCCTGCGATGTCAGTGCGGAGTCTGCAGTCTAAAGTTTGAATTTATGTCATTGGCAGATAGCCATCTATACCAGTTGCTCGACCAAACCCTTCATGTTGTCTATCAATAGAAAGCTCTCTGAGAAAGCATTGCGATGGCGTTGTCAAATTACAAAGGTTATTGACGACTTTCATTTTATTTTATGATTTCTTAATGGTGACTGCACGAGGCTGCTGTCAGCACCCTCTTATTTGATTGCGAACCGGAGTTAATATGGTTGCAGGTGGTTATCTATATCAGTTACTTGATTTATGCCCGTCGCTCGAACCCTCTTTGTGCCAGAATATGAAACTTTCGTCATCAGTATGAAGGATATCATAGGTAAGTTGGCGTCACGCGTCATCGCTAACATTAATAGTCTCAAGTTTAACTTTATGACACTTTCAGAACCACATTTCTGTTTCCTTCGTGACTAGTTTCATCATCTTACATGTCTAAAGAAGCTCACTCTGAGATAATATGTATATTTTGTCAAGACATTGAATTTCAACATTTATTTAACGATTGTACTGTTGCGCATTTATTTCGCCGCTAATTGACTCTATGTCATGGATTGATTACCAATATGAAATGCTTGATTTAATCATCATTCATCCATCAATAGATTTTCAAACTTGTGAATTTAGAAAATTCCATGCTCTTTTATGATTTCATAGTAGTAGGTGCGTCAGGTCAGTAAGTCGGTGGACAGCTATTTGATCCAGAATTGGAATCTTTGCACTTTGTAGACATATATTTCAACTCCCCTTACGCTTTGTTTGATCACATTGTTTGTCGATGGGCCATTCTATGTGAAAACACTGCGATATTCCAGTAAAATATTTTAATTCCAATTAATTTCGAATTAATTATGTATTTCTCTGCAACTAATAGAATGCCACTGTTACGTTTTCTCCACTGTTAGTTTTACATGCATGTTTACACTCCGTAGTTTCGGGGCGCGAATCATGGAATTTACTGAGGATGACCATGTTGTTGAAACGCGATTAGGGGTAATTTTCGTTGGATACTTTTTGCTGTGTTCCACAGGAAAAGGGGGAAAGAACGAAGAAAGAACGTCAATAAAGCTATCATTCTAAGGCAAGGATTTACACAGCAGGCACTACCGTTATTATGATGCTTGGTGAACACTCATGTCAGTTCTGTCATTCATGTGGAGGTAACAGAATTTGTTACTAGGATTAAAAGGCGTGCTGAAGAAAGCATGGAAACGGCCGTTAAAGTTATTAGCAGGAACGTAGTTGGACTTTCGCAAGGATCTCTAGGTTCACTTCAGAACCTTCCTGCTTTTAAGAAAATCGTCAACAAAGAAGATATGAATGATACTCCAGCAGCGATAGATTTGAAAACACTGGTTCCGCCAAAATCGTATAGAAGGTATGAGCGGCAACCAGGTGCTTTTGAACAGTTCCTGACTGACGACAGCGGACTTGAAACTAACTGAGTTATGAACTTTTGCATGCAAGGAAACCTGTAAGTCTTGGAGGGGCGAGAACCTGGTTTACAGGTAAAACATTTCGACCTGTACAACCGCTGTTTTCGTAAAATGATGCAGTGCTAGCGGATGGGTTTGATAGTGTGCATCCTGTTGTATATACTTTTGCCAAACAAACATGGAACCGCGTGCAACAGAGTCTTTCAGATGATTAAAGCCGCCATTCAATATCTTGTAATTTTATACATCGATGCATGCAATAAAGAATACATTCTTAAATGCTCAGCATTATGGTTGTTTTCGTTATCTCAGTTACATAATGAAGAAACGTTCGGGGGAAATGCATTTACTTTGTACTAATGACGCCGATGCCAATTTTGCCTTGCAAACGAGAACGGCAACAGCGTTGGCGTTTTTATCCATCGCTGAATTAGATCAAGCGATCGACAGATTGGCGGAAGAACTTCCCAATGAACTGCCGTTGCTTCCTGGGTGATTTAAAGGTGATTTAAAGACTTGGATGTTCCACAATGAAGACTGTACAAATAGCCTTGCAGAGGCAGCTGAAATGTTCCATTCCACGCTAGATAACGGAAATACCATGAGGAACAAGCGGCAAAATTTTAACATAGTCTTCGTCACGTCCCCCACCCC